TGACTTTGTTTAAATGACTAAGTAATAAAACTGAACGGAAAATATTTACCTCCTTTTGATGCAAAGTGAGCAACTTGACTTTCAGTAAGAACCGCACACACTTAAGATACTTTGCTGCATGCATTTAAGCAAAGCAAGCCTTCTAGATCAATTATATATTAGAATTTGTCAAAGTACTGGGCAACTTCTTAATTAGAAATGACCTAGTAGTCAGTCATTAAACATTAGTAATATCTGCCTTGACAGATGTTTTCATGCAGTAAGTACTTTAATATGCACAATATGTCGTTGCAAATTAAGACTGGAATATATAATTTATGTCTCATTTGTGAATATTGGACTCATTGTGATAGGTGTATGCTAGGCTTCACTGGGAGGGCCACCTGACTGAATAATCTCCAAATTGGCTCAATATGCAGGCATCATTTTTTATTCTCTTTATGAAAATCAATGACAACTGTACCTACTAACACCACTGAAAAGACTGTTCCAACTGTTTCTGCTATAGCTATATTGTTGACCGTTATTAATAGCCTCAGTTCTAAGAAAAATGTAATATCTAGATTTTACTGCCTCCATTATAGTTGATTGTTTCAATAATAACCTGATTATTGAGAACAAGGGGTAAAAGAAACAAACAATAAGGTTTGGTTGCTAATGAAACTATTGCAATATATTTTTTTTTTAAATTACAGGAAAAACAGTTGCTTATTCTAAGAAATGACCCACTGATTTCTTGTGAGCTAACAGAGTAGCAGCAGGAGAAATCAATCCAACTCATTTTGTGCTTCTGCATGGAATTTACTAGAACGCAAGTTTGCAGATCCACACTTTTCAAACACATAATCAATGTCCAAACAGCAACCCAGCCCAGTTTCTGGAGATACATTTATTTTTCAGTATGATCATCATAAAAGAACTTTGAAAGAAGGTTGTTAACTTAGTAGCTAAGTAACATTAAATAGCATTTCTTATGAAGCAAAGCTCTTTTATTACTTAAAAGTAATAATATATATATACACGCAACACTCAGAGAAAGCAAATTTATTACTGTATTTTAGGGACAAATGTAGGAGGGCAAAATATACCTCCAAAACTTATTTTACATCATGATGAAGCCAAGGGAAAAAAATCTTGTAGTCCCCAGAGCACATGATTACAGAACTTGATCCATCAACATACAAGTACTAGTTTCTGCAAGCTCATATAAATTTAATTTTAAGCATATGGGGACTTTTCAAGAACTTCCATGCACAACTTTTTACTTCATTGAAAAACAACAAGTGTTCAGGTATTTTTACAATTCTTTAAGATAAGATTTTCAAAGTGCTGTATTGGCAATATGTTAGTTTCCTGAAAAAGGAATCCAACCTTTTCCCCAGCTGTTTTTTTCATTCTCTTTCAGTTTTCCAAGAAAACCATTAGCAGAAGGAGGAAACAGTAAGTATAATTCTAAAGAGAGAACCAGAAATTAGCATTGCATGTGGATTCTGACAAACAAGTTGCAACTCTGATAAGCTGTATTTTGGCTTTAATGACAGCCTTAGGGCATCCATGTGTGTACGTGTAATAAATCATCCCATTGAAAAGATAATTACCGAGGGGGGAAAAAGCTTTCTTGATAGCAATTACACTAAACTGTTCAAATTAGCATACCCACAGATGGTTCTTTGTTGTCCTACATACACATTAGAGAAAAGAAAGTTTTGTTACATTAGTTCACTCACTTGCAAGGAAAAAAAATCAGGACCTGGTTATTAATCACACTAATACTGCATAGGGTCTGTAAACTAAGGAGGCTTTTGACTGCAAAACCAATGTAGAACAAAAGGTTAATTAGGCTTTTAAGCTTGAGTTTTCAAAGGCAGTGAAAGTTGGACGATATCTAGGTGAAAACAGCAATCTCTTTTAGCTGCAGGCAGGGATTCAGAAATATATCCCCATTACTATTTGGTCTGGCAGTGCTGGCCCTTTCTGAGCATGGACACAGCATGCACGCCCTTTCAGGAAAGAATAATCTAATTAAAATATATACTTCCATATGGACATGCTGTGCCGCTCCTTTCCAATTTAATTGTAAGGACTATTACAAGAATACAAATAGTCCCCCACCAGCAGCTTAAACAGTTTTTACAGCTATTGCTGTTGCTTTGCTCCATGTTTGTGATATGGACAGCTGTTTCTTCATTACCCCTGTCCTCTTCTCTTCCAGTAAAGCACGTCTGCTTCAGATAAACACAAACAGGACACTTTTGCCTGACCCATTGAGAAGCACACGCTAATGACCATTCCAGGACTGAAATACACCCTGCCAGCAGCTTTGACATATGAAGCTAGTTTTCCTGATGACCGTTCAAACAGAGGTCAAAATCCTGACCCTCTGAAAGAAACTGGGAATCTTGCTACTTACTTCAACAGGACTAAATTTCATCCTGGCTTTGTTTCATGGGTATTTCTTCCCCCATTTGTACCTCCTTTTTGGAGTGTGCTAGTAAGTAAATTGCAGAGAAGCCACCGAAGCCTCGATAAGGCAATAAGGGAAATCTGCAGCAGCCACCACCTCTGTCCTCTCCAGAAAGTTAAGAGATTTTCCTCATCCTCAATTCATCAACAGTCTACTTCCTAGTGGAATAATCCGACTCCGATTGTCTGATTAAACTCTAGGTTATAAGTTTCCATGTATCAACTGCAAGCTATATTTAGCATCTACAGCTCTCTCTTTTCTGGGATAATGGTAACAGTAATAAAACAAACTGTTTAAAGCTTCATATTTCTTGCAGTATTAGTTATGTACTACAAAAATGTGGCAGGGGAAAAACTATCAAAACCCAGTACAACAATGACTAGCCTATGAGGTACAGGTTTATTTCTGCACACTACCACGGCAGGACTTAGCTCCCTCTTATACTTCTACCCAGACATATATGTTCTCCCTCTTTATCAGCCTGCCACTGCTCAGCGAAACAACCTCCTGGCCCACTTCTGGCAACCTTCGCAAGCACCAGACCATTTTTTAACTGTCTGTAGCCCCTGATTAAGGATCTTAGTTTCCATGAAATAAGGTTTGCCAACACCTAGGTACAACTCCTTGAAACAAAATGAATGCCCTACTTGCCTTTGAATGCCTGCTGGGTTGCTGCTGCCTAGGAAACCGTAGTGTATACAGTGGGGTTTGTGCACAGCTACTGGAAATATCGAAAGCTCCTGTTTCTCCTGGACCACGTTCAGAGGGATGCACAATAGCACTAATGCATTGTCACATCTTCCAGACACTTTCTGTGCTCAAAGTTAGAAATCCACTCTTTTGCAGACTCTGAAAAACCTCATTAGTAGTATGTAAAATGAGACAATCTCTTTCAAAATGGCTGGAAACATCTTGCTGAAATATATGCAACACCTATGTGTTTAATTTGAGGCGTGAAAAGTTGGCCCATCTATGCCTTACACCAACCCCATTCACCTTTTCACTTTGCAGTCCTCATCAGTATGTTGCCATCAACATCTCCTCATCCATTTTATTTATTACGAGGACTCTACAGTCTTTCATTGCAGATCAGGGAACAAGTTCTTGAGATGGAATTTGCAGCTCTCCTCCATTTAGTTTTCTACTACTTTGACTCAACTCAATTTTGTCTCACAATCCTCCAAACGCCCCTACCCTGCAAGCTGGTAAACCACTAGGCAGAAAACTGAGCAGTAGGCAGGCTCAAGTGCCTATACTTACAGATAGCAGCTCACATCTCCCTCAGCAGTGGAAGCAGCGGGATGCTTGTGTTTAGTGCTCTACAAACTGTAGTTTTTTGGTTGGTAAAATAATTTCTTTATGTGGCTCACTGCTGCACGTTCCTTCATGGACATGCTAACTGAAAACTGTCAGTTAAATAAAATTAACTTTATCTCCAAAGTGCCTACATATATCCTTTAACACCAAGTACTCTTTCATTTTCTCCTTCTCTCCACCACCACTACTATTTGTTGGGAACTCTTTTACCCTTGGAGTGTCAACAATGACTAACAAACCTGACCACAGGTCAGTATCAGCCTCACTTGAACTCATTCTTCCCTTCCTTCCCAAATCTCTGTCCAGAGCACCACTGCAGGATTGCTCACATCATCTCAGAGCTCCTTTCTCTTGTTTATTTGAGCTGTACCAGACAAGATGGATAAGTGATTAAGCTTTTTCCTACATCCTCATCTGGCACCTCTGTTCAATGCTCCAAGATACGCAGAAAAAATGAGCATATGTCTATGGTCATCCGTTCAGCTTTGTCAGATAGAGACACTGTAGGCCAGGAGAATCTAAATGCCCCAAGTCTTTCTGTGGAGCTGCATGATCATGTAGATCCCACAACCCTGTATGCTCTGATGACTTCTATGCTTACAGTCAGAAGATATAGTACATAATCTTGGAGTAACACAACTTATGCAGTATCTAATTCTATACATCCTCACCTGCACTATGCACATTCTTGAAGTACGTGGGGCACTGCTTTATGTGGCAGTCAGGTATGCATGGTTTTTCATTTCTACTTGCCAGTGACATTATCTGGCTGTTCTCAGTGCTGTTGTGTCTAATCTCTTAAATCAAAAAGAACTGTTCTCTAATTACTCTATTCTTTCATGGTTATAGAAATTATTCTCTATTGCTAGTTTCATCTGACTTAACTGAGTATGTCTGCAGGTTCACCGTTTAGCAAAAGAATTGTCAGAACAATGTGTTTCCTCTGAAAAATGAGTAAATGAATCCTTAGAAAGTTATCTTCATACATCAAAGAAAATGAGACTATATGTAAAAGTTTTAAAAGTTTTTTCCCTGGAGCAAAAAACCCCCACTCTGTGGAGCTGCCAATATTTAGAGAGAGTTAAAGGTAGCCTCAACGGTTTTTCCCAAATACAAATCAATGGACGGGATCCATTAATCTAAGTCATAAATATCAAAGAATTTGTCATAGAAAACTGGTACTCAAAATAAGTACAATCAGTTGTGGGCAATATCGTACCTTGACAAAATGTAGCATTGATCCTCTTGTAGCCTTGTGGGCATTCCATCATAGGACCGTATCCATGGTAAGCTGAAGAAAAAAATTATGTCAGTTACATACTGCTAATTTATATGCTTATTTAGAGAGCCTGACAGCCAAATTATTATGTAACTAAAAAAAAAAAAAATCATTAAACATAAAAGGTCAAGAAATTAAAATTAAAGACTGTAGAGGTAACCTCAATTCCATCTTTTTCCACATCTATACCATTTAAGTTAGCCAGTCAAATTCATATTTTTTCCAAAAGAGAAATCTTTGAAATCAGGACATTATCTTTCATCCTAGCTGTTCTCAAATACTCAAATAATTACATTCCCAAACCAGCTACAAATGTGATGTTGGAAAAGATAAAGTTAAGTTTCAAGATGGAAACTCAATGGTTTTAAAACTGAAAGCAGCTTTAGAAAGCAGAAGTATTTTCATTGTTAAGTAAAATTGTTGGGTGCCATTTCTCGTGCCACAATAAATTAAAAAATATTTGAAATACATAGGAAGTAGAAGCCAACGAACGTTTAAAAGAAGGCAAAAAAAAGAAAAAGGCACATTTGTGATCTACAGAGTAAAGCTGCTGAATTTTAAAAGACTGTGTGACTTATTGGCTGATCAGTGTAAACTGTCAAGGGCATAACAACACTGCAAAAATACAGACTGAATTCAATTTTGCCAAAATAGAAAAGTATTCAGTTAACTAGATTTTTATTTCTATTTATTGTTTCTTTCCTCCACTTAAGGTTGCCTTTGAGACTCCAGAAAACTGTTTATTGATTCTTAAACTGTTATAACATCATAAATGAGAGCAGTAACTTCTTTGTATGGCTATGCACTAAAAGCTAACCTCTTGGCAAAGCCCAGGACTTTATTAAACATGTAAGACTAAAATTTTGGCACTATGATCACGCAAGTGCCTTTAATAAGAGTCAAGAGAGTTTTTCATAATGCGAATGCTACAACAGAGGTACCTTACATTTAGTCAGATCTTTTGTTTTCCTTTAAAAGTGTTCTAAATGTTCTGCAGGCCAAAAAAAACCCAAAACACCCAAACACATTGCTTTCTATCTTTACTGAATATAAACTGTCAAATAAGACAGAACAACTGAGTGAGATAATGTTTTCAATTGGCTTCACTTCGCATATAATGCCTGAATTGCACATTTATCCCTGCAGCTTATTTTAAAAGTGGTAACTAGTTGACTATAAGGGTGGGGGAAAAAAAAAATATTTTCGTTAGTTCTAAAGCTTTTCCTATTGTTTGGGAAAAAATTAAGTGATGATCTTGAGTGCAACTCAAGAGAGAGTTATAAATCAGAGATTTATTTCAAATTGCTGTGAATTATTTAAAATAATTGCTTAATTAGAACATTAAGATTCTCCTTAGAGATTGCTTAAAGTGATAAAATGGTTAAACATAAAAATAGTACAGGTCAAAATACAGCAACAATGTTCTTCCAGTTTTGAACACATACTTTGCCATCTTTACATTTACTACAACCATTTTAACACAAATTAAAATTTGAAAATTTCACCTCTTACCAGGTACACATTTATTTTCAAGGCAGATCTAATCTTTTCACAATGTTAATATTAAAACCAGTTGAAATTTAAGGAGAGATTTTTCAAAATGCAATGCAATGCATTAGCCTATTCCTGGTCCCCCAAAATGTCAGTAAAACTCCTACTGCTCATGTTGGCAGAGTCAGATTCATAATTGCACTGATTATGTCCCAACTTATCTGTGTTTCCCATTGCAGACCTGATTCAACTCACACTAAAACCAAGAGAGTCTCTCTAACTTTTTGTGGGTAGGAATGGTACCCTGCAGTAGAGCCTGGCAGAGGAAAACAGGAAGAGCAGAGCTCTTCCAGCTGTAGATGGAGACCAGCCCATAAGCTATGCCAGGCCTTTTCCAGTGCTGCAATGCATTTTCCCTTCCAGGGTGACTCAGCTGCTCTAGAAAGTGCAGTGGCGGAGTGAGGTCAGAGATTTTAACCTCTCCCTCCATCCTTATCCTCCTACTCCCACATAGAACAGGAAACAGCGGCTTACTAGCAGCTGTTTTCTTCCTTCTACAAAGAGCGGCAACATAAGCAGGCCGCAGTAGAGTAAGGAGCTTGTTCAGTGACGGCTAGTGACCCATGTGGGAGCTGGATGAAGTCCTACATTACTTACCCTTTACTCACTTAGACAACCTGCTTGTAATTATTAACTGTTAGCAAGAAGCCTGAACAATCAGAACATTCCCCATGTAACAGAGAAATGCACTTTGTCTTAAAAGTTGTCTTCTGCAGAAGCCCTCAAAAATGGAGATCCGTTCCAAGATTTCTTGTTTTATTTTTCAGTAATACTGAATAACCCATAAACTTACAGACATGGGAGCTGTCTCAGGCCAAGGCACTTGACTTTGCAACAAGACAGAAGCCCTGACTGAGCAGTGGCTATTACCCAAAATATGCAAGTACATCTTTACAAAGTGACAAAGCCCTATTTAAGTCCATGGAAACAAGACACATGCAAACTTAAGTACATCCTTAAGTAGCTGACTGAAGAGAGAAGAAAAATGCCTGCTAATGAGACTGAAGTATATGCTTAAATATTTTGCTGAAGTGGGTTTTGCAGAAGATCACATTAAATGCAACCTGATTACATATTAGTATAAAAACAGGTCAAACTTAAATGAAGTTTATGAAGCATAAAACCATAAAAGCAAAAGAAGTCTGTTTGCTTCCAAAACGTCTACAATAAAAAGGATAATACCAATATAGTGAAGTATCAGAACAAGTAAAAATGATGTGGGACTAACTTTGCCTGCTGAGACACTACCATGGATACCACTTAACTGATATCTCACAAATAACTTACTTGACTCCCAAGTTTTTCCATCCAATATCTTATATGCATATATAAAAAATATACGCATACTTTTTTTTACCACTGAAATATTCTCATTGTTGTAAAAAAAATCAAAATACTTGATGAAATATAAATCCTTAAGCAGACTACACAGTTTCATTAAATCTTATCAATTTATCTTCGGAAATTGTTTGCTCTACAGAAACATAACACTTTGATACTGACATGAGGCTTAATTTGACACCTATGCCTGAAGGACACTTAGGCACACAACTTGTTTTGGATCTGGGCCTAAGTGCAAATTGAACACCTAGAAAATTCCAAGATGCTGTAAGACCACTTAAACTCCTGCAACACTCCAAATTTATCACCTTAAGTACTTGGAAATCTGAAAAGTCACCATTTGCACTCATGCAGAATTGCCCTAAGTCATGGCATGATTGAATAGCATCATGCTTACCTCATTCCTAAATCAAATCTGGACTAAATTACATATACCTCTACCAAAGCTTCCTGACAGATTCAGTGATTATTTGAAGAATACACCTACCAAATCATACTCTGGATATAATGTAGTGGTAGATTACACTGTATTTTAATCTGGAGAAAACAGACAGTGCACCCATCTCCTCCTCCCTTCTTAAAATACAACTGTACGGTGAGAGCTCCCACCTAGAAAGATGAGAAATGTATCCCATTATGTCTAGAAGACACAAATCCTTACTTTCCAGGAATGCTTTAATCACAAGGAAAGGATTATTCCAAGTGGCAACATTCTCTGTCTCCTCTTGAAATCGTACAGTTACATTCAAAAAAACAATTCCAGATTGAGCCAGAAAGCAGGAGTGAGCATGACTCATATCATGAGTAATTAAGGACACTGGGAAAGAGACTGGGTTCCTAGTTCTGTTCCAAGAATTGTTTCTACATTTTACGGGTTAGGGCATATCCTCATAGGTATAAAATGTAGATTAGAAATTCTTCTGGCAGATAAAGGAACTCTGAATTGCCCCATCTTGAGCAAGTGTGCCAGCCATTAAGTTTTTATTATAAAGGACAGTGCTCATCTCATTAACATTTCACAAAAAAATATTTTTACTCAGTGCTTTGAAAAAAGGCTAGTGGACTTCCCTTCAGGAGAGGTTTTAGGGTGAGTTCAGGCACTTCTCTATACCCACCCAGTAAGCATCGGGGGACCAGGATTTTGGACATGGTTTGTCCCAGTGTTTACCTGTTTGCTTGCTCTTAACATCATGATGAGCATGTTGGCATTAAGCAGCTGCCTGATCAACGCTGTCTGTTGTGGATTCCAGGCTGAGGAGACCAGTGTTTTATCTGAGCTAGGAAGAACTAGCACATGGGCTTCCCTTTGAACCAGGCACCAAAAATCTGTATTAGCAGTTCCAACCAGTTTTTAGTTAAAGCACATTTCAGGCTTTTGTGATTTTCTCATGGCATACCTATTTCCACTAAGCAACATTCCACACGCCCACAGGCTTCTGATGAACAGAACTTTCAGTTGTAGTTAAATTGCTATGTCTTTGGAGAAAGCTATAAATAAATTGCTACTTCTTTAAAGAAAGCTACAAAATCAGGACACATTTCACAATTCATACACCAATACAGAATGCATGTCTCTGTTAGAAACTGTATTTACATGCTACAGGAATAAAAATTTAGATACTCGAGTTTTTTATTAACTATGAACCTCAAAGACCCCAAGAAGACTCTCTTTTGGAAGCAAATCAGAAGATAAACATACTCCAAACCACAAAATTTAAATGCTTCATAAACTAGCAGATCAGACTGAGTCAGTGTAAATTTGTATCAGACTCTCCTGTGGAAGGAGGAGTCAGAGAAGTAGGAGTAATAGTAGATTTTCTGCTGGAATTGTATTTATGTCCGTATTAAGACTTGTGGACAAAAATATGCCTGGAAAAAAAAAAAAAATCAAACACTGAACATGTTTCCAGTGTTGCTATCTGTACGAATAACAAGGGCCTAGAAGACCTAGATAAGAATGAATGCAACTCCTTGCACTATTTTTGGCCCACTAAATGAAGGTCCACTCCATCTGCAAAACAGAGATTACTTTGTTTTTTCCTCATCTTTCATTTAGTGACGAAAGTATGACATGATGAGGCTTTGGGCAACCTGGTCTAGTGGAGGGTGTCCCTGCCCACAGCAGGGGAGCTGGAACTAGATGATCTTTAAGGTCCCTTCCAACCCAAACCATTCTGTGACTCTATGATTCTATGACAGAGAAGTATTACTATTCCTGTGCAACAATAATATCATTCACAAAAAGTTTACGAGACTAGCTTCACCTATCATATAAATAATTTGAAATTTCTTTCTCATTACAATACAATGTCAAATCATAACAAAACAGCAAAGAAAGTCTTTGTCATTGCCTAATGTTGAGGAAGATATTTCAAAAACAGAGGAAAAAAATGTAACTGACAATTTAGAGCCTGGAGAACTTTGGCTTCAAACTTGAAAGTTCATCTGCAGTCCCAAGAGGTCACTGCATTCTCTCCAAGCAGTAACTGGCGCCTCTATAATTTAACATTTCTGTGCAAACTTTTAAAAAAATAAATCCAGCTGGAAGCAGCAAGATGATTCAATGTCATTATCCTTCCTGTAGTGAGAAAATGCAACAGTGCATCACTGACTTAAAGGAGGAGGAAGGGGAAAAAACCCCAACGACGTTAACTTTGCTGGCTAAAATGAGTGCCTGCATATTGTAACTCTGCTGGCATGCAGGAGAATTCCAGTTTCTGCAACCTGTCCCTAATCAAACCACAGCACATTCTTTCTACTAGGTTCCTTTTTTTGTTTGTTTTTTAAAAAAAAGGAAAAATACTACTTGAGAGGAAAAAAAAAAAGCCATAAACTGATGCAGAGAATAGGAACAAAATAGCACTTACATGGCTTCTTGGGACATTTCTGGCATTTGTTAAAACCCCAGGAAGTACCCACGGTTCCACAGCAGTCTTCTTGCTTGGAAAGGCCAGGAAGTGCTTTGCCACACTGGAATAGTCAGGTAAAGAATACTCCGGTTAATGATACTATAGGATGCTCACTTCTAGTACAATGTTCTTTTTCAGTCGTCTTGGGTCAACCTCTTGCTGAGACACTGACGATTCACTGGAGGTCTTGGCTGAACTTAAATAGTACCCATGCATTGCAATGGCTCTCGTACACAGGCATAAGCAAATTAGGTGACATTATTATCTTCCCCTCTGTTAACTTGAAAAGAAGGAGAAAGAAACAGAACAGTATGCCATAGGAATGAGTGAGTATATTTCCAAGGTAGTAACTTGCCATTGGCATCTATTCCCTACATTTTCCTCATAAAAATGTGCTTGTCCACTTTTTCAAAAGCTGTATAAATTATCTCAAACATCTTTCTAATTACTCTCAGAGACAAAAAGTATGATGGATTTCTATAATGTTATTCCCTATTAAAAAGCCTCAACTTCCTGCCAACTTATGTTTAACGTTCATGACCACTTACTGAAAATTGCCGAATTATAATGACAGATTCTGCTGCCCAGATACTAAAGAAGGTAACACGGATAAGATGACTGAACCTGAAGTTAATGATGTCTGTGTTATTCCAAACAAGAGTCTTTCCTCCTGCAAATATTGAAATTAATAGTGCGGTAATTTCTGAAGTCAATATTCCTTTTTCCTGACCAAGAATACTCTTAATATGCTTTTTATTAATAAAGAATACTAATTTTCAGAATCTTACAAAATACTTAGTTATGTCCTTGACTTTTGCAATTGTCTTCTGTTTTGCATGGTAGAGAAAGCTTAAATGTATTTCTGAGATACAGACAAAAATACTTCTAAATCCATCAATCAGGTGTAAAATGGAAGTGCACAAAGGACAAGACACGTGCACAACTTCTGTGCTTAGTAACACTTTCAAAGCAAATGCTGATATAAATAGGCACTGCAGCAAACAATCCAAATGTGCTGAACTGTGAATCCTCAGTACAGAGTGAACAGACCTTCCCTCATCTAACTCCCTTCCTGACAGCATATAAACTTCTGACCCAAATGCTCACTGCCACTTAGCTTTCAGCTCAAGATAGCTGGCTCATCCCATGGCACAGGCTGTGGCCTTGTGGTTGCTTTCACTTCAGCTGGTAACACAGTCACTCCACAGCAGGGGATGCATGCTGAATGTACACGCACTGATGGCTTCCTCCCACCTTCCCAAAATTTTTCCAGTGTGCTCTTAATCATACTGACATCCCTGAAATAATGATGTTTTCAAAGTACAGAGTTACTCTCTGGAGCTTCACAGTGTGACTGCTAACAGGATAGCAGGCTAACCCACAACATCAGGGCTCTGACTCATCAGAGGGTCCCCTCTTTGCATGGTGAGGACTGGCAAGGCATCCTCCCAGCCATCTTCTCTGCTCGTTTTTCACAGATACTCCCTGGGCGCCTCCTGAAATACCTCAGCAACTAAAAGGAGCACCAGCATTTCACTGTTTAAACACCAGACTGCAATGTGCAACCTGCAGCAGCTCTGCACTTGCTGCTTGTGAAGCTTAGACATCTGCCAAGTAAGGATGGGAGCAGCCAGGAGCATCCTCTGTCCCAGCTTCTCTCATGAAACAGAGCTTTTGGCACCAGGGTGACTTAGTGAAGTTATGGTTCACCTCTGTCCATCACCCCAACATGGGGTAGCACCACTTGTGCTTTGAGCCACATTTTAGGATGACACGTGAACAACGTAAAGAACAGAGTGGCCAAATAGGTTAAAAGACTGCTCAGTTATCGTGTAACTTTAGGAGTCTATTTTCACACTAACCACCTGCAGAGGGTCTTGTGACAAGTTTCCCCATATTCCAAGGGGTGAGAAACAGTCCTGGCGTGAATGGTATTTGGCTGTGTTAAAACAGTAAAGTATCAAAGCAAGTCTCATCTTTCAGACGCAGGCCCAGGCTTACACTATGGGAACTCGCATCTTTCAGGCTGTCTTGTGCTCCCCTGGCTTGGGCACTGGCAGGATTAGTACGAGATTGACCATTTCTGATCAGTCAGTCTGCTCTGTTTCCAGAAGCAACTCTTGGCCTGGCACTTCACAAGGGCTATCAAGATGCACAAACAGGAAATTCTGCAGAGCTCCCTCCACTGTGGCAGCTCAGCTGTTTTCAAAACTGGAACTAGCTCTTCCAACTGCCTCTAGCTAGATGATATACAGATCTTGCTGCAGTTCCCACAAGCTCAAAAATCTTTCAACTGGAGAGTACTCATAACGTCTCCTGCAAGTGGCTGCCTTAAAGCCTTAGAGAATCCATGTTACATCTTTACACAATGCTGGTTTCTCAACCCACATCCCAGGTGAGCATGCTCTAGGAAGGACCATTTTACTTTACAACCGCAGCTATTCAGCAGTTTTACTTTATAATTACAGCTGCTCCATTCCTTTCCTAGAGCTGGGACTGCTTCTTCAAAGAAAGAGAAACCACTTATTGAAGTCGTATACTGTCAGCTAAATTAATTTGTACTTGACTTCTCCCCCGGCTTGTGCCTCAGTTTTACAACTCTCATCTCTCTGAGAAGAAGTGGGAGGAATCAAGGCTGGTGCTGCACCTCCCCTTATGATCTCAGAAACGGAGCATTTGGGCAGCAAGGCACATTACCTAACACCCAGTGTTCCTCTGTAAGGTCACAAGCCTCAAGGACACATCCCAGCAGCTTGTATGTGTCAAGACAAGACTCCACTGACATGAGAGCCAACATGCCATCATGAACTGGCTGGTTTTTTTCTTTTTCCCCAGAATAGAAAAGGTGTCATTTAACAGTAGTAAATTAAAAGCATATAGAGCAAAGAAGAAAAAAAAAAAAGAGAGAAAGGAGGAGGAGGATGGACTAAAGCCCACTTTTAGTTTAGGTGTGGTGCTACAGCATTTGCTCTCTACTGAAAATCATGATCTCTGTGGTCATAACTTTTTCAAATTTCCATATAAAAACCATGAGCAAAAATAAGGATGCCAAAGTCTGAGTCATCTGGCAACTGTGGTTTGTAGTCCTGTCAGTAAAAACTGGCAATGATTAAAGCTGCTGCTCCCACTGCCTCTATGGTGAATTAAAGCTTGAAGAATCAATGATAATTTGGTTAACTTCCAGATCATTGTAGAAACTGGCCAGCGAGGAAAAGCAACTGCCACATGGGGCTCCTAGTGGTGTAAGATCTGTGTAATTTTGGAGCTACGCATCAGAAAAAATGACTGCTCTGCAAAGTCCTAAGCCAAGCAGAAACAGAGAGCTCTTCTATGGCTAATAAACCCTGATTTCTCTGGTACATCTAATAGTGCTTCAGATACTTTCAACACTCATGGCACTGCACAAACTGTTTCCTAGCCAGCTACAATTACTTAAGATGCTCCTTCCTTTCACAAACCCTAAGCATCAATGAACTGAAGCTCTGTTTCTACAGGTCTCAAAAATTTTTAGGTAATTTCTATCCACCTCAAAAGTGTTATCCACTTCCTACTACTGAGAAGAATTCATTAGTTCTTCAGACAGTCTGTTCTAGTCTCTGAGTCACAAGTGACTGGAAAAGTCACTTGGGGGAATCCATAACTATTTTTAGTTTGTCTCACCATTCAACACAACTCCAGCACATAAGTATGAGCCTAAAATAAGCAGGGAAGCTAAACACAAGGACAGAGCTTGCACTATGCATGAAGATGATGCCATTCCCTAAGCTTAGGCTTACACTTTTCTATCCTTCATCCACACACATTTTAAACTAATCTAGCCTGTATTCCTGAGGGCTTCTGGAAAACTCCTCATAGACAGAGAACAGATTTTCATGAATGATACATCTGTCACAAGCTCATGATTTGGAGATAATTCTTACTGGTTCAGAAGGCAAAGTAGTCATGAAGGATTGGTATAAAAGAGCTCAACTGTGCTGAAAGAGGCTCAGCAGTAGCAGCAGTATGAGGCACACATGGTACTGCTATAAAACAAAGTTCTTCCTGGGTAAAGCACTCACAGACACTGAAAGTATTGTTTCGAATCCACATATTTTTCCCCATGCGTGCCTGGGCTTCTATGCCAATATTTTATATAACTGAAGGAAGTACTGAATATTCCCCCTGGTAGATGGAAATTCTGGCTGACCCTGTGCTGGTGCACAAAGGCCACCCAAAGCCACATCACCTCTTTGTTCCTCTGTCCAGGCTCCAGCCTCCTGCCCCATCTCCACGGTCTTGGAGCGCTAACAGTGCTTGAGTTGTGCACTACCACCAGGGTTTCATCTGTTTTCCAATGCCAGGGAAAAGGAAGGATTATATGCTCAAAATCCCTCTGCTGTAGCAGTAGAAGGAATTTATTCAGCTCCCTGCAAAGTGCGGTAGATAGCCCAGTCTGGCAATTAGTCTACGGGCAGTCACAGAGGATTCTGGCCGAGGAACCACAATGTTTCCTGGGACTCCCACTCCTGTGTGACCCATCTACAAATCCCTGTCACAAGCTGTTAGTTAAAACCACAATATGGGCATAAATAAAGGAGTGTCACATGATTAACTATGATTGAAATCGATAGGTGCTTTGCCTGAGTTAATAGCTAATGACTCTGGGATTCAGCTCAAAAGACTGCATTTCACATACCACAATAGCAGAAGTGAATGGATACACTGTTTAACTTTCTGTAAACTGTTCAACAGGCACAGGCCTTGGATTGTTGCTTTTTTTTTTATTCCTATAGGCACAACAAACAGAGTAAGAAACCTCAAAGTTAATATAACATATTACTGAAACAATTAACAAACACACTTAATTAGCTCACTGACCAGTTGAATGACAGGTTGTTACAAATGAAGAGTATTATCCTATATAGCACTGGCTCACTAACAGGCATTGTCTCATAAGCAGAGGAGAGAAACTTAAATACTTCCAGACATTCTAAAAGAACTGGTAAAGAATTTGTTTTGGCTTAAGCAGAACATTCTTCATAGGCAAGTAAAAATTATCCAGCTTTCTTCTATTTGAGTAAT